AGCAAATGATGGTAGCCTAAGTAGGTGGGGAAGGGACGGGGGTTGAAAAAAATGTATAGTAAACTTGATTTTTTCAGGCCAGAAGCATAACCCCTGCTGGACATTGTTGTGGAACTCAGGGGAGGACACCATGATCCCCCACACCTTCTCACTCACACCAGACCATTCACTCATATCGCGGAGATCTGGCTGGACTTGAACCAGCAACCTCGGCAACCGTGAGGCAGCACTCTTACCTCTGAGCCACAGATCTCTTGTTTGAACATGTGCAGGAACTTATATTTAACTATTCTCCCAGTCATATGTCCAGGAACTTATATTTCACTATTCTCTCGGTCATTTTACAATAAAGCAGTTGAATTTCAAACCCATTGAGTTGGGGTTTGAACCCACGGCACCACCGCAGTTCTGAGCGTATGTAACATGTGTTTTGCCATTAGTGCCACACTTGCTTTCACATTGCAAGCTTGCGTTTGCACCACTTTGTTGGATATAATGCAATACATGAGCTTTAATGTAAGCAATAGTGGGGCTTGAACTCAGGACGCCACGATCTCAACACAACACTCTGCATCCTGAGCCACTGGAACAAGTGAGTTACAGGTTGTTTTGGACGGGTTTTATTGAGAGCTTTGGTTTATGTGATTAAAAATAATTAAATTAATAAATAACTAAAAACTTGAGCTAAGTTATTTTTAAGAGCATTTAAGTGGTATTTTTCTGGACACAGTAACAACAGCTGAATGTAAGCAAAAGTGGATATATTGAGAGCTTTGGTTTATGTGATTAAAATAATTAAATTAATTAATAAATAAAAACTTGAGCTAAGTCATTTTTAAGAGCATTTAAGTGGTGTTTTTCTGGACACAGTAACAACAGCTGAATGTAAGCAAAAGTGGATTTGAACTCGGGACTCCACGATTCACAGACAACGCTTTATCTCCTGCACCACAGTATGGTGACAGCTTTTGTAGTGTTTTAGATGAAAATACGATAAAATAGCTAAAACGTTTTCAACAATTGTGGGATTTGAACCCAAGCCACTTTTTGTGCAAAACAAATGAGTCCAACACATCTGCCTGAACGTTTCTTTGAATCCCGAAGACCTTGATTAGCTGCTTCAGCTGTTTTTCATCAGGATTGGAGCTAAAATCGGGACAGTGGCTCACCAGGAGCAGGATTAGATGATCTCTTTCCTCCTGCTGTTTTCATGTTTTAATGCTGATACACTTATTGTCCACAAGGGAGAGCAGCACATTAGCACATTGATCTGATCTCATGCCTGTTATCCATCCATTCTCAAAGACCGCAAAAGGAGAGCGCGCAGCATCAGCACTGGAAAGATAGGTTAGTCACAATGCTTTTAATGAAGAGGATTGTGTGTTGACCGTTTGCGTCTTACTTTCAGTTTCATTCGGCTTGCTGAAGAGATACTCAGCTACTCGTCCGCAGCGATGCGCGTTGCATTAGCGCAGTCTGACTAATGTCATATAGCCTATAACACCCTCTCACACGTTTATTATTTTAACATTTTGGGAGGAGTAAAATGTACATATGTGGTTTCAACAACCAGATGCATTTACACTTGTCCAGTTTCGTCTGGAATGCGGCCCAGACCACCTCCTGAAGTGGTTTGAGCGATCGGATTTATATCCGTCTCGAATGCGTTTCGGAGGGCATTTACACCTGGTCTTTTCACGATCGGATAGCTATCCAATCAGACAAAACGCATGACGTGACCAGGTGTAAACAGGCCAAGTCTGTAACTGAGCGGTCATCTCCAGGATTCATTAAATCGGTTTGCACGTGTTGTGACTGTTATCAAGCGTCATGTTGTCAAGCATCTGATTGTGTCAAACTGAACCTAAAGCCCGATTCTGCCGCCTGGTGGAGCGGATGAAAAACTACACTTCAGTTTTTACCTTACAAATCACAGTTTATTGCCTATGGACTCAAAGTTGCTTCAGAGATTGGGTCACTGTCCATATGACAAAACACATGCGTTAACATTTTCATACTGAAGAAAAAACAAATGTCTCTTCTTATTTGGTTAAATGTGTGTAAGGCAGGTGACAAACAGCTGATCATCAGCTCCCTCTTGTGGTCAATAAGTTTATCCGCGTTATTCACTGAAACTACAAACCCAAGATGGCAAATCGTAGGTGAGGACCGACATTTAATTTCAGAATATTTTACAACAAATGTATAATTTGACCAGCAGATCAACTTAAATCTGTTGCTGAACTCATGGCAAACTCATAATGTAAAGACATAAAAAATAAGGGACAAAATAACTTTTATATTGTCCATGGCTGAAGTAGATGTTTATTTATCATGTTTGTTCACAATTAGACAATGACTTTGTGTTGTTGTGTTTGCAGAATCAAGCTGCATTTATAGTAAATCTTGACTGGATCTTCCTCACATTGCTCTGTGATGGACTGGGTGTGTTCCTGCTTTAGGTCTGAGACTCTGGGACAGACTCCAGCATCCCCTCATAGGGTCCTACAGGAGAAGCGGTTTGGAGAATGGATGGATAACAGGCATGAGACCAGATCAATGTGCTAATGTGCTGCTCTCCCTTGTGGACAATAAGTGTATCTGCATTAAGACATGAAAGCAGCAGGAGGAAAGAGATCATCTAATCCTGCTCCTGGTGAGCCACTGTCCCGATTTTAGCTCCAATCCTGATGAAAAACAGCTGAAGCAGCTAATCAAGGTCTTCGGGATTCAAAGAAACGTTCAGGCAGATGTGTTGGACTCATTTGTTTTGCACAAAAAGTGGCTTGGGTTCAAATCCCACAATTGTTGAAAACGTTTTAGCTATTTTATCGTATTTTCATCTAAAACACTACAAAAGCTGTCACCATACTGTGGTGCAGGAGATAAAGCGTTGTCTGTGAATCGTGGAGTCCCGAGTTCAAATCCACTTTTGCTTACATTCAGCTGTTGTTACTGTGTCCAGAAAAACACCACTTAAATGCTCTTAAAAATGACTTAGCTCAAGTTTTTAGTTATTTATTCATTTAATTATTTTTAATCACATAAACCAAAGCTCTCAATAAAACCCGTCCAAAACAACCTGTAACTCACTTGTTCCAGTGGCTCAGGATGCAGAGTGTTGTGTTGAGATCGTGGCGTCCTGAGTTCAAGCCCCACTATTGCTTACATTAAAGCTCATGTATTGCATTATATCCAACAAAGTGGTGCAAACGCAAGCTTGCAATGTGAAAGCAAGTGTGGCACTAATGGCTAAACACACATTACATACGATCAGAACTGCGGTGGTGCTGTGGGTTCAAACCCCAACTCAATGGGTTTGAAATTTAACTGGCTTATTGTAAAATGACCGAGAGAATAGTGAAATATAAGTTCCTGGACATATTCAAACAAGAGATCTGTGGCTCAGTGGTAAGAGTGCTGCCTCATGGTTTCAGAGGTTGCTGGTTCAAGTCCAGCCAGATCTCCGCGATATGAGTGAATGGTCTGGTGTGAGT